TGATTAATAATGATTAAAATTGAGTTATATTCTTTGACTCTTATTGACTTTGACAGATCAACTATGAAATTCATTGATAGATTCTGTTATAAGCTCTTTGAAATAGACAGTAATATCAACTTACTGTATTACTTATACTACAGAATCTTTATTCTTTAATAGATATTGTAAATCTTAATATACTCTTTAATATCTATTCAGAGCTTGTTTTAAATATATTTATATTTTAGAAGCTTCTCAGTCTTCTCTAATCTGAAGTGTCTCACATGAAAATTATTATAATAAATTCTTAATAACTTCTGACACACTACTCTGCTATAAGAAATGAAGACTGAATTATTCAGCAGTAGAAGTTTATATTCTTTTAGTTATCAGTGACTTGATTTCTTAGCAGCACTGCTCTGCTCAGAGTCTGTCTCTTTTAAGTTTAAACTGAATTCTTTCTTCTTCAACTTCTAAATTTAAGCTGCAGTAGAGATATCTTTCTTCTATAACTTATTAATGAATTTTAAAAGTAGTTGAGTTAAAAGATTGTAGACTGTTTTATTCTTTATCAATTCAATAATTATAAGATATAATATAAGAAGCTTATAATCTTCAGTGTTAGTTCTCTGCAGAGATCTGAGTTTTCTTTCATCTTTTATACTGAGTTATACAGCTGTCTTACTAGTGCTGTTTCTGAGCTTCAGAGAACTCTAATTCTCTGCAGTCAGCTTCTTCTACAGTGATAACAGAGATTCTTTTATAGAATTCTTCTCTGCATTAATAATATTATAATCAGACTGTTTAGATAGTATATCAGCAGAGTTAAGCTAATCTGAATAATATTAAATATAGAAATTATACTCTGAAAGCAGCTTCACTTATCTGACTTGATATTCTATCAAGCTCTTTATTATCAAGAAGTAATACAGATTTGTATAATCAGTGAAAACTTACACTGAGTACTTACTACTCTGAAGATAATGTTATCAGATTTTAAAGAATTTAATAATTACTAATATCTTCTAATCATGAGTATTATATCTTCTCTATATGAGTGATAACTTCTTAAAGAAGAAGATCACTGATCTTCATTTATAGTATTTTATAGACTCTGTGAAAAAGTCTTCTCTCACAGATAATTCATTATCTGTTTTCTCAGAGATGATTATTCTCTGATTCTTTTAATATTGAAAGATCTTCAGTGTTAACTGTGAAAAGATTTCACAGATCTCATTTCTGAATGTATCAGTCTCACACTGACTGAGTAAGTTGAGATTAAAGTGATTTAGTATTATGATATCTGTAAAAGCTTGTTTCAATTCTATAAATATCTGTGTAGTGTCTTGAGTAAGAGTAAATAATTCTATTTTTCTATCTTTCATACTTTTCTTTAACAGATCTGTAAGAGAAGCAGTAATCTATGAATATATATAGATAAATTATCTGTAGAAATTTATAAATTCTAGAAATATCTGTATCTCATAGTATATCTGCAGCACTGATCAGTTCTTAATAATAAAGATTCAGCTTCTGTTCATTGAAATGCTGTTTATCTTAATAATATAATCTAAGAAATCAATCTTCTGCATGTAGAATGAGTATTTTTCAGTATTTATATAGAGTTAATACTATCTTAAGTAACTCAATACTTTTTAAACATGAGTATTATATTCTTTCTCTGATTTTAAGAAGATTAGAATGTTATTTAGATATACTATGTAGAAGACATTGATAAGGCTCTGCAGTGTCTCATTTATATAGATCTGAAAGATGACTGAAGTGTTATAAAGATTAAAAGATAAAACAAGATATTCAAAATTACTGTACTTAATATAAAAAGCTGTTTTTTAAATATTGTCTTTATTAACTCTGATTCTATAATAGATATTCTGTATATCAATCTTTGAAAATATCTTTACTTCAGATAATTGATTAATCATCTTATCAATCAATGATAATGAATAGTAATTCTTAACTGTTATTTTATTAAGATCTCTGTAGTCTATATATAAGCATAGTCTATTATTCTTCTTAAGTATAAAGAGTATAGATGTCTCTATCAGACTCTTTGATAAGTATATTCAGTTCTTTGATTATGCTTCTTTAAGATATTTATACAGAATATTCAATTTCTTTACTAATAAGTTATAAAGAGATCTGTACAGCACTGTTGTACTATTTTCAAGATAAATCTTATATTATATCTTAATATCAGAAAACTTCACTACTTCTCTTTCTAAAAAGATATTCTTATAATCTATAAAGAGATATTATATATATCTGTTTTTAATAACAGATACTGCTGTTAATCTTACAGTAAAAATAATAACTTCTTTACTTATTCTTAAGTCTTAATCATCTATTATACAGTATATTAACTCTATCTTTTTCTCAAGATTCTTCTGATGAAACTCTTCAGATTTCTCTATCACTATCTCTTTATTAGTGAGATAATACTGTTACATCTGAGTAACTTAGTTAATAAGAGAATTATTTTCTCTTAATTATAAGAGATCTAGAATAATGTTCTCATTTATAATATTAACTGTATAAAGAAATAGACTGCTCTTTTTAAAGATTTCTTCTAAGTCTATGATTATATACTTTGCTTAAATTATGTCAAAATAATGATATTTTATTTTATTAGTAAATTTTATATAGTCTGATAAGTCTATCTTCTTTCAACTCTTTATTAAAGAAAAGAAATAGAATATAAAGTTAATATCTACTCTGAAGTTAAGTAGACATCTCACTGATATCTTCTTGTTTAAGATATATATTATAATTATAATATAAACTTAAAGATATAAGAATTATTAATTCTTTATTTCTTTCTCTTCTTTATCTTCTATAAATATATTTATCAGAAGAGAAATTAACTTTAAGAAGATATTTTCTTAATTTCTTTTCTTCTTTAACTTCTTATAATTACTGATATAGTGTTTATCAGCTCTGCAGTTAAAATAGAGATCTTTATTAAATCTTTTTTAATATTTCTTTACAGTGAGTGAAGAATTAGAATACTTGAAATTCTTCTTTACTTTCTCTACTCTGAAGCTGTTATAATACTGTTTAAATCTTATTATTAATTATTTAAAAGAGATTTTATTAATCTTTTTCTTAAAGAATTAATTATTTAAATAGATCTGAGAAGTTAGATTAACAAGCTCAGTGTAATTAATTAATGAACTCTGATATTATAATATTATTATTTATATCTTATAAGTCAGCTTTGTAAGATAAAACTGTATTTTTAATTAATATAAATTATCAGCTAATTTCTCTTAATATTCTTTAAATCTTATATTGAAATTGAAAGAATTCTTATTATTTTATTAATATAATAAGTTAAACTGCTGTACTGCTGTGAAGCTGTAGTTATAGTAATCTTTAATTTAATTTAGTAGAAAGTTCTTGAATTCTTCTTAAGTTATAATAGTATTAGTATACTCAAGCTCTCTTTTTTTAATAACTTAAGTAGTTACAGAGATATCTTCAAGAAGATTGATAATATATATTACTTATATCTTATAAGTATTATACTGACTTAGATTAAGGCAGAATTTTCATTCAAGAGTATAAGTAAAGCTGTGAAATTCAGATAAGATATTTCTCTTATATTTTAAAAAATCTCTGATTTTAATCTCTCTATCTTTATAATAGATATAGATGTGTAGAGGCTGTGATAGTAGTAGAGTGATTAAAGAGCTTATATTAAAATATACAGCAGTTTCAGAAATCTCAGATTTCTGTCAGAGTAGAGATATATACACTTTAGAAAATAGTATAGTATTTTTCTCAGAGAGTGAGATCAGATCAGTCTCAGTATAAGTGTATAAAACTATATTAGTCTGTTAAAGCTTGACTGATTTAAACTTATAATCAGATTGAGTGATTTAAATTATAATATAATAAAACTGAAGTAATGACTAGTCAGTAATATTATATAGAGATAATTATTTAAAAAGCTGTATAAGTAAGCTTAACTATCTTACTTAAATAATGAGCTTATAGACTACAGAATTATTATAAGAATATCACAGATATAATACTTAGTATACTAAGAAGATTATATAAAATATATAGTAACTCTTATTATCTTATATATATTTCAGTTAAAGAAAAAACAAATTACTAGCTTCTTTAATGAGAAGTCAGTATCTAGCTATTCTATATAGATAATGAGCAGATACTCTTCTCTTATTTCATAAGTAAGAATAGCTGAAGTGATATCTCAGCAGTGTCTTATTATTAAGAAAGAGTAATCTGCTGATCTTGTATAGAAGCAGAGTTCTTATATTTATCAATCAGATCTTTCTATAATATATCTGAATAATGTCATAGAGTGATTGAAAACTGGTTCAGACAGAATGAAATCATCCGCATGAAAGTGATGAGCTGTGTGAAACTGCAATGAAGTCTTGGCGCGGCCGGGAGCGTGACATCTTGTATTTACTGCTCTGATATTTTCTCATTTCTCTGTTTTAAAGATATATATTCTTTTATTAAGTCAGATATTCTCTCAGATCTTAGATTAATCATAGATTTAATCACTTAATAAATCATCTAGACACACTTATAATGATGTGTGAAGATGTCAATTACATGTTATTTTACAGCTTTTCATTGTGTAGAGGGCTTCATAACCTCTTGAAGGATAATGTTGTTGTGTTATAATCTAACTACGCGAGTTACACTAAATAGGTTGGGGTGGCACGTGACTAGGGTAGGTGTAGTAATCACCAACAATATCTGGAGAAGCGTCTGAGCTTGCTGAGATAATGCACCCGGAACGCGCAGAATACAATCACGTGATTTAAACTCACGCGTCTGCTGGCGTCCTTAATTGGTTCACAACGTCACGTAATTGGGCGGCTCGCAGTTCCGGCACGCGTACTCCGTGCAGAAAGCGACAACGACCTTCACATCATCCCCAGAAAAAACAGACATATGTCAACGAATCTGTTTCTCGATATGCCCCAGGAAACCATTATATAATTACAATTAACTCAACTATGCTAAAACCCCCACAAAAACGAGTCCTTGGCGACGCTACACTTAGCCGTCACAATGTACTGCCGAAGTCGCCCAGTACCGCAAAGAAGCGGAAGCTCGAAACCGACCAGCCAGCTATTGGCATTAAACCGTCTTCACAGACTGGCAACCGGAAGCTAATATCCTCAGGCCCTCGTCAATCGCAGAAGAAAAGCCAGTTCGAGGAGGAAGTCTTGGAGAAATTGACACAGGACATTTCAGGACTGAAGGAGAGCAACTCGGAAAAAGACCAGCAGTGGGCTCGACCAAGTTTAGATAATTTTGATGCAGCGCGAGACACTCTTTGCTTCCAGCAAATTGAAGTGGAGGAAGGGACGCTAGGAGGTGGAAAGCCTGCGGTGAAGCTTTTCGGGGTTACTGAGGTAGGTTTGCTCATTCATCCAATAATAGGTATCTAGTTGCTTTATCGATTTGGTTCATCCTAACGAGATCATTTTCTTCTCATCTAGGCTGGCCATTCGGTTCTCTTACATGTTACCCATTTTCTACACTATCTCTATGTGGCTGCTCCTGTCTCATTTGCTCCAACAGACTGTGAAGGATTTAAGGCGTATCTTGAAAAGGAAATCGATCTTCATCAGCCAGCTTTACATTCAGTACAGATGGTAATGAGAGAAAACCTTTTCGGATTTCAGGGAAACCAGAAAAGTCCCTACTTGAAAATCACAGTGACAGATCCGCGACATATCAACAAATTGCGAACGCTGATTGAAACCGGCCAGGCGAATTATAAAGGCATGTGGAGAGGTAATGATGATGGGATTTTGACCTTTGATAATATAGAATATATTTTACGGTTTATGATTGATACAGGGGTAAGAATTTCTTTGTTGACTTAAGCTTCCTCCTACCCCTTTGCACCTGCTTGCCTCGGCTAATCAATTTTTGAAGATATCGGGCATGTCTTGGGTCGAGGCGCCGGCTTCCAAATACCACATGCTCCCAATGAACGAAAGGTTGTCGAATTGCCAAATAGAAGCTACGATTCATTACCGTGATCTTATTGCTCATCCCAACGATGGCGAATGGGCAAAAATGGCACCGCTCCGAATCCTTTCCTTCGATATAGAGTGCGCTGGTCGCAAGGGTGTGTTTCCTGAGGCCAACCAAGACCCGGTAATTCAAATCGCGAATGTCGTTACACGTTATGGGGAGTCAAAGCCATTCGTTCGAAATGTGTTCGTCTTGGACACATGTAGCTTAATTGTCAATACCCAACTTTTCGAGTTTGACGCAGAGGAAAAAATGCTGATGGCCTGGAGAGACTTCTTGGAGGAGGTTGATCCGGACGTTATCATCGGATACAATATTGCTAATTTCGATTTCCCCTACCTTCTTAAACGAGCGGAACATCTCAAATGCTCAGGATTCCACTTCTGGTCCAGACTGAAGCATATCGCTTCACGGGTAGGGGACGCAAGATTTTCTAGCAAGCAAATAGGCAACCGGGAGTCCAAATCTACGAATATCAGCGGCAGAATTCAACTCGATCTCCTGCAACTTATTCAGCGGGACTATCAGCTGCGAAGCTACACTCTAAATTCAGTATGTGCGCAGTTTTTAGGAGAACAAAAGGAGGATGTCCATCACACTATGATTACAGAACTTTTTAATGGAACGCCGGACTCGCGGCGACGGTTGGCTGTTTACTGCTTGAAGGATGCATACTTACCTCAGCGACTGATGGATAAACTTATGTGTCTTGTCAACTATACTGAAATGGCAAGAGTCACTGGCGTACCTTTCAACTTCCTGCTTTCCCGCGGACAGCAAGTCAAGTTTCTTAGCCAACTGTTCCGCAAGGCTCTCGAACAACAATTGGTTATTCCCAATTTACGGAACGAGTCGACTAGCGAACAGTACGAAGGAGCCACCGTCATCGAGCCTATTAGAGATTATTACGATGTTCCGATAGCAACCCTTGATTTCGCATCCCTATATCCTAGTATTATTCAAGCACACAACCTGTGCTACACGACTCTTCTAAAGAAGTCAACCATCGACACACACCAAATGAAGGAAGGAGAAGACTATATCGTGACTCCAAACGGGGATAGGTTCTGCACCTCAAAAGTCCGCAAAGGGCTCCTGACTCAGATCTTAGAAGAACTTCTTGGTGCAAGAAAACGCGCAAAGAAGGAGCTTGCTGTGGAAACGGACCCTTTCAAAAAGGCTGTCTTGAACGGACGACAACTTGCTCTTAAAATCAGTGCGAACAGCGTTTACGGCCTGACTGGTGCTACTGTTGGCAGACTACCCTGTTTGCCTATCGCCAGTAGCACGACTAGTTACGGCCGCCAGATGATTGAGAAAACTAAGGAAGAGGTAGAGGCTAAATTCACCATCGCCAATGGGTATTCTCACGATGCTAAGGTCGTGTATGGTGATACTGACTCCGTCATGGTTAAATTTGGAATGCAAGACCTTGCTGAAGCAATGAAGCTTGGGCGGGAGGCAGCTGATTTTGTTTCAGCTAAGTTCATTAAGCCGATTAAATTGGAGTTCGAGAAGGTGTATTTCCCATATCTCCTCATCAACAAGAAACGCTACGCAGGTCTCTATTGGACGAGGCCAGACAAGTATGATAAAATGGATACCAAGGGCATTGAAACCGTTCGCCGAGACAACTGCCGTATGGTACAGACAGTTATCGAAACTGTCCTTAGGAAAATCCTCATTGATCGAGATGTCGGCGCTGCCCAAAAGTATGTTTTCTAGATTTATTTCCCTTTACTTCCCTTTGCGCTGCTCTATTGACATTTCATTTCCCCCCTCCCCAATAGTTACGTGAAGGATACGATCTCTGATCTCCTTCAAAACAAAATCGACATGTCTAAACTTGTGATCACGAAAGCCCTCTCTAAAAAGGATTATACTGCGAAACAAGCTCATGTCGAGCTAGCAGAGAGGATGAAGAAGCGTGACGCCGGTTCTGCCCCAACGCTCGGCGACCGAGTTGCATATGTCATTGTTAAAGGTGCTGGAGGTTCAAAAAATTATGAAAAATCGGAAGACCCGATCTACGTACTAGAAAACAATATTCCAATAGACACGAAGTACTACCTTGATAATCAGCTCGCCAAGCCCCTCACGCGAATCTTCGAGCCCATCCTTGGCGAGAAGAAGGCCGGCCAGTTGCTCACCGGGGAGCACACTCGATCCATCTCCGTCGCGGCCCCGACGCTGGGCGGCCTGATGAAATTCACCAAGAAAACGCAAACGTGTATGGGTTGTAAGAAGCCCCTTACTGGGAAAGAAGGCGCCGAGGGCGCTGTTTGTGAGAACTGTCGCCCACGCCTCGGCGAGCTCTACACTAAAACCCTTACGAGAGTGTCTGATCTGGAAGTGCGGTTTGGCCGCCTGTGGACGCAGTGTCAGCGATGTCAGGGCAGTTTGCATTGTGAGGTTATCTGCTCGAGCAGGGACTGCCCGATATTCTACATGCGGATGAAGGCGAAGAAGGATGTTGAGGACGCTGAGAAGGAGTTGGCACGCTTTGATCACGATCTGGGGGCCTGGTAGGTGAGTGGGATATAGGTAATATGTTATCTCTCTATTCATCGGTCACTTGAATTTATGCTGGCATACATCGGGAATAAATCATCCTGGATTGGCTTGCTTGGTTTTACGACATGTACGCATTGTGTAAAATGTGAAGGGATCCTGGCTTTTTGCGTCTATATTTTTGTTTATTGTTTTTATGAGCATTGTGGCAGGCATATGCTGCATGTACGTCTACTAATGGTAATGGTATTTTATATATTCTCTCTTGAATATTTTCTTTTCTTGCCTGTTCTTGTCCATATTCATCTTTGATGACGGCCAAATAGTTAGCTATCTGTACCTCATGTTCTTGGCACGGTCGGGCCCTTCTCCCCTCCTTCAAAATTTCTGTACCATCACTCTCTCGCTCCTTATTTTTTTATCTCCCAACTCCTCATTCTGGGCTGTTACCCTTCTTGGCTACGTATCTACCGCAGGTACGTACACCTATAAAAAGCACCAATAACCTTATCCCATGCATCGCAGTTACCTGCGAAAATGACGACATTTTTGGCCTGTCAGCGTGAAGCTATTTACTAGCTTTCTACTTCTACGACATCCTATTTTATCCATTCTAAATATACTTACAGTTTTCGAAACGCATCCACCTCCAGATAGTTTCTATGAACTTAAATATCCCACATGCGAAAACTTTACGACAGAGTTCGTGGTTTTGGCTACAAAAGTAGTAGAAAAAAAAAGTTAAAATAAATTTGCTAGATGAAATTCAAGATTTTTGAATACATCTGTGAGACAGCCTTGAGAAGAGAGTTTCATATGCTCCGTCCTCTACTTAGTCGAGTCGTACTATGCTTGTAAATGAACAACTAACGTGAACAGACGAAATACATGCGACACAAATATGAGAAACCAAGATAGCAATCCACCTTACTTTCCTCGGGTAAAGTACTATCAAGTTACTTGTCCCCTGTTCGCAATTATAGGGAAGATAAAATATTTGGCAATGTGTGCACGGAGGAGAGAAATTCAACGGAGGTGCTTAGATACAATTCTGCTTGTTCGAGGAGGTAGATAATTAATGTTCTCTCCCGAGAAATGGCCGAAATGGCCTAAATAATGCAGAAACCCCAGCAACCAATATTCTGCTCACTGGCGATCTGGTGAGGCCCCATGAAGGCAAGGTTAGTCAACTGTTGCAGTGTTCACTATTTGAGCTGTGATCCTCTTGCAAGTTGTTCAATTTCATCCAGAGTCGGTCCCTGAGCTGGCCCAGGTTGGTTCTCAAGAAACGAAATACTGGCCGCTCATTGGCCAGCGCAACGTCACCCTAACTTCAATCGTGAATCTCATCAGATTCGAGCTTCACAAAGCACTGCCAGCAATATCTTCATAGCAGATGCGAATCCACTTAATGTTAATAATTCATCAGTTATTCGCCCATAGCAAAATGCCGGAATTACAGAATCCGCGGTCGGATGATCATTCAGTATCATGGCCAGAGGTAAGCCGAGTTTTCACAGCTGTGTAGGGCGCTGCATACCAGTGACGATGTATTTAATCGTTTTGCTGACAACATACTATTTCTCCTCACTTTCTAGATATTTTCGCAGCACCAGTCAAATCTGAATCGACACCTTCAAATATGTGGCATGGTTAAGCAACATGTCGTTCCAGAAAGTCCATCATTCCGCGCCATTTCTTCCATGTTGAATCGAACTCAAGAGCTGCTCAAACAGCTAGAGGAACTCAGAAGTGAATTTGTAATTTCCACCACTCTCACCCTTGACCTAGAACGATATCATTTTGCGCATTTTGACTTACAGATTTCTATTAGATGCCTCAGCATAATGCAACCAGGTTCCTCTCAGGCAAATGTGTGGATAGGGTCGATGAGCAAAGGGCAATGAATAGAGGTGCAGAATCTGTGGGCCAGGGTCCTGCAACCTCACTGCCATCTTCACAAAGCGGAAGCAATCAACATCCCAGTGATGGAGCAAGCGCGACTGGGACACCGGTCCCACTTTTTGTGTTTGACAAGACACCCACTCCCATTTCCCTCCCTCAGCGTCCACGAGGTAGGACCAAACGCTCACTAGACGACGAAAGCAGAGCTGAAGATAATGGCGAAGCCATAACTGCCTTACCTAAAAGAAAGCGGCAGAAGTTTTTCTCAATCGAGAATGGCGACAATACGTCTGCAAGTACTTCATCCCGCTTCGTCGAAACTGAAGATATTTCGGCGGAGGTTGAAGCGCGACTCAAGGCAAAAGAAGAAAGCCGACGACGTATGGCGGAGGATCGGGAGAGGAAGAGGAAAAGGAATAGCTCGGGGTCGAACTCCGGGGGGCTTGGTGCCGAAAGCTCATCACAACAGCCGACGAAACGTTTCAGGGCATATCATGGCACTGAACGGGAAGAACTTTCCGGCCCTTGTCCAACAGATGGCAATGTAACAAAACGCGAGAAAAGGAGAGCCGTTGGCAACGTTCATGAGATGGTCAAAATCAACGGGGAAAGACATGGTGCAACAATGTACAAAAAGCTGAAGAAGTCATGACCCTAGTTTAGTATTAGGATAAGTACAGTGACGTATATTATTCTGATACTTGTCTATACTATATTGGACTCTCTCCGTCATCTTTCTGTCCTGAGCTTGGTATACATGGTGGCATTCTTCTGGTCATTCCGTGATGAAGAACTGCCCGATGAGGCTGTTTCCTATTTGGCCTCTTTTGAGTTCATGCCATTCCGCTCTCGTTTCGCTCCTCCTACGGGAAAGGCGCTCCGTCCGTCGTGCCTTCTTTCCCTTCTCAGTCTAGCTTCCAAACAACCAGGAAAGAGTTATGAGCATCCGTGGACCCGGAGAACTGTGTAGTGCAAGTCGCTCTTACTCCGCAATGCTTATTCCAGTTTTGCCCCAGGATTGCCCCAGGATTGCCCCGGTTGGGACCGTTGAAGCCGTTGAAGCCGTTGAAGCCGTTGCTCCGTGAAGGTAAACCGGTGAACTCTATCAATCGCCATTCTTCGACCACTGGTTCTCTTTGCTTTCGGCCATTCCTACGGCAATTATGGCGAGTGATGATACATTTTTATGATTTTAACTAATATCCAGGAGGCGATCAAGATGAGCACTCTTCTTATTTGGAAGTCGCTCGAAAGAGCTTGCGGGGGACAAAGTCCCAACAATCTTTCCAGTCTCTGCTATAAAATACCCTCCCACCCCCGGTGCTTTCCTTCCTACATCTTCCCTGCAACCCCCGTCCGTCGTTCGTTCATCCGCTCTCTGGTTACATATATCGGTCCTTCGTATATATCATTTCTGGCTTCTTCCAAGCCTACTTGAGTTTACTTACTCTTCTCTCTGCGAGAGCCCTCATCGCATATTTTGCCCTTTTTCCTGTAAAAAGGGTGGCTCAAAGCCCACCTTACAATCACTTTTTTTTCCTACCTCTTTGAACCTCGATATACTGATCCCACCGCTATCTTCCTCTTTATTTCCGGTTATCTTCTGGCCCCTCGTCATATATTGTCTCTATATCATAATCTGAGCAAGAAATACTTTGCGACATTCACCTCAGCTTTTACTATACCATTTGCTCAACTTAGCCTATATATCTGGAAGCAGCAATACTATTCAAAGCTCCTACGAGCTTGGTGATCATTCCGAAGTCTATAACGACCAGTCGTTCGTAACAACCGATCAAATACTCGAGCAGTCTATCAAATATAGACGAGTGCGACTACGTACCTGATATCCTCGGGTATTCTGGACCCTCGACGAGAACCCTAACAAGCTACTTGATTCATCCGGAAGCTTCAAAGGATCTTAAGCAGCCTATCGAGCTCCTGACGATAGAACCGTCATACGAAGGGAGACATTTGTGAACGGATTTTTTTTTTCAATTATCTAAAATGTCACCTCAAAACAACAAAGCCAGCCAAAGCAACAATTTTAAGAGTATCTCAGAAGGTATGTGTTCCCATTTAAGCAAAGCTACGCTCATGATATTGTTGACAACGAAACTAACACCCCTTGATTTAGACGCTCTTATGGAGGCTACCGTGGGGTAAATATAAGCCCTTATATGCATTATTTTCTCTTTAGTTGGTCGCGGCCTGATCAGCATTCTTCGTCTCTGCAGCAGTGATACATTTAGTATTCCTCCCAGAGACGATCTGCCGAAACCAACCGAAAGCACGGATATGGACGGGGTTGGGGAAACGGGCCATTATGGCTGGGAGGATATTGGCCTCAAGGATACAATTTTCGAAACCATAAACGACGAAGACAGTTTATTCAATATGTCATTTAATCCTCCACTTACTGTCAAGGAGAGATACCGACAAGCATGCCTGAATACACTGTACAGAGAACCTCGCCCCGTCACCATCATTATTGACCTCGCTACAGAGAACGATACGAATCATGCAGAAACAGTCAACACTACGAACGTGACGAATGGGACAAGAATAGCATTACCTATTCGTCAAACCCCCCCACGGGGGTCAAGTCTATCAAGGTCCCCTCCAAAAAAGGCTGGTCATCAGACAAGTAATTCCATTCGACAAAATTCTCCGAATCGTTCGCCAGATGGGGAAAGTGGTCGGAAGAGCCAGCAACTTCGTTCCAATTCCAACGAAGGCCGAATCAAAAAGCAATATAAAAACTCGCTTACGGCATCGTTTAAAGAATTTACGAGGCAACAACTCCAACAAAGCCCAGACGCATTTAAAGGCGAGTGGTACAAAACGCAGGACGCGACACCCACCAAACGCATTAGTTATGTTAAGTTTTTGAAGAACGGCAGCAACGCTAGCGGACACAACTAAACTGGAATGAACCCTATGATGCATTATGTTTACATTTTAAGTTTTGTTATCATTCGCTGTGTTTGCATCCGCCGATTCATCTTCTTGTCTACGTGTGAAAATTGGATTCTGGCAGGAGCTGGGCTTGGAGACAAATTGAGAAATTTTCGAACTCTCTTACAAATTTTATTTGTCTTGCTGTTTGTATGTTCGCATGTTCGCATGTCTGCATGTCTGCATGTCCGCATGTTTTCATATTAAGTCTTTTCTGCATTGCGATTGTTTTGTACAATACCCACATACATGGTTTGAGAAATTTGGATAACTTGGGAAATTCCTTCTTTTTCACCCCTTACTTCGGGTGATTTCTAGAATGGACCTGTTACTTTGCTCTTCATACGGAATGCTGGTACTGTTGTTCAAAGGTTTTTATCAAAGCAGTGAATAATACAAGTGTTTTGTTTTTTTCCCTTCTACGGATGGTATGAGAGTAAATAAAGACGCATGAACCTCAAGTCCCGTGTGCGTGATATTGTAACATGAAATAGAAAGAAAGTGATACAACTAGTTCTACCGTAGATTGAAGGCTATCCCCAGTCGACTCCCACGCACTCTCCCGGTACCAGTGGAGGTGAGGTTGTATGTAGTTTTCATCCAGGTGTAGCACACTCCAGCTCCTTTACTACAACACCAAACAGCCATGTTTCCAGATTGGGGAGATGAACAAAAGACGAATAGAGCCGCCAGAAGACACATCATTAGTAGCATTCGACACGTAGGCGTAGCGAAACAGTTGCTGGAGGTGACTGCGAATGAACCGCGGAATCCCCACAGCGTCGCAATTTCGTCAACGTGATACAGCCGCCGGGGAAGCGGAATGGTGTATATTGTACGTCGGCAATTTTCATCTTCATCCCTCAACGTGATGGTTGAAACTCAAGAGTCATCGCGGTGGTGTAATCGGGAACATGGCCCGCCATCCAGCACAATCCCTGTCGGACCAACACTGCGAGATAACATGAAGGTTAAGGGTAAAGAAGCTCACATTCCATAACGAAATGGAAAAACCTCAACTCCGCTGACTCCCCTCCTCCACCTCTCCCCCGTTTTGCTTCTCAACCCCCTCTTCGCCTGCCTCATCATCCTTCTGGCCCCAAGTTATCACATCCCAAATATGTTCCTTGATCAAATCGCCATAACCCTTTCCCTCCTCCAGCGCCTTCAGTTCTTCCCTGCGTCTCCGTTCCTTCCACCCTTCTCTTTCCCCACCCATCCACACCTTTTTCACAATATTCATCTCCTTCTCCTTCTCCTGCCTCCGCTTCAACCTCTCCAGCTCCTCCCCTACAATTTTCCCTTCCCGAATCTCAGCGTCCCGCGCAGCCCGCAGCTGCGCCTGCATCGCCTCCGCCTGTGGCGTAGGCAGGTCGCGGAACACATTTGGCCGGTTCTCGCCGACCGTCCGTGACCGGATGTGCCCGACTATACTGCTACCTGTGTGTACGGAGGAGAGGCGGTTTGCGGAGACCAGGAAGGCAGCACCAAGACTGAACGTATAGAAGTCTAGTTTACGGGGCGGAAGAGCGATGAAGACGGGAGCTGCAAAGAGGAAGGTGTAGGATGCAAAGTTCTTGAACTTTTCGAAGTCGGCGGCGCGATCGCGGGCGGGAAGGGTTGCTATGGTTGTACTGGAGGATGATTGGGGAGTGGAAGGCTCGGCGGCCGCCATGGTTACAATTCAGGAGGGGGTGTGTTTTTCTCTTTCTTATGTAGAGTCCAGGACACGGTAAAGTCCCTGACGTAGCCAGGTATGGTATTCCTTTTATGTTTCAATTGAGGCTGACGGCCGTTTTACTTTTGTCTGATAGTGGGTTGCTTCGTGGAAACGGTATCTTGCGGGCAGGATTTTATTGCGAATAGAGAGAAATTTTGATAGGTAGACGTATAGTTAATAAATAGGTATTCATATAGTCTTAATTGATAGAGCTAGTCTTTAAATAAATTAAAAAGTATACTGGTTGGGAGGATACAGAATATTGATTTATTCATCATCCTGAGCTTCAAAGCCTCAAACCTCTTTTGCGGGTGTGGTGTAGATTGCCTAAAAGGGCATAGGCCGAAAACCCATAGTATTTATTAAACCACTGCAAACGACAAAAATCTCAATTTTCTGGTTAACGTTCTCTGAGTAACCCGCTGATATACGATGAAGTGATCTAATAAACAGACGTTAACCTCCAAAATATATATGAAAACAACTGGTTTACAGCCAACTATGCTGTTCATTATCTCTCCAATTACCCCTCCCTGGCTAATAATAAGAAATATTAAGCATCGGGATAGCAAGTCACTATTCTTGAATTATCGTCAGCCATGCAACAACGCCAAAAATCTCGCAATATAACATTCTGTTTACTATCCCCTCGTCATGTTCATCAATATCTTTCCCGCCAACCAATGTGGTTTCCCTTCTCCCGTAGCGTTACTATTCATTGCCTAAGCTACACATAAGAAAGAAGAGAATGGATAACAAGAACCATCTGGCGAACGATGCGCGCCGATTTCTAAGTTCCGATATCACAAGCATACTTGTCTAAGGTCTATCTCCCTACCACCTAACATTCTTCAAATCAATTCCAGTTTGAGATGGCGCCACCGTCCTATATATTATAGAGCCATCCTCATTCTCCCCGGCTGGCTCGATGAGCCCGGCGGAAACTTCATCCAGGATGCGGGCATAGTTTTCGTCCTTGTTCACTTTACAGCGCACTGTGGCGGATTCGCAGTGCGCTGTTAATGCTGTACTAGATTTAAACATGCGCAAACAACCAGGACAGCTAATGAGATGGAGGACATATTAGTTTCAGGGACTAACTCTGGGAGAAGCGAAGGCGCAGGAGCGGAAAATGTTCGATATAGAAGGAACAAGACACAACTAAATACGGGGATAGGTTTATAAGGGGAAGCTTTCATACCGGAAGACACCACCCATATGGATTCCAGACTTAATATGGCCCTCAAAATCCTTCTCGCTGTCAAATAACTTATCGCATACACATACCCACTTCCCCATAGCGGGACTGAAGAACTTAGAAGGGCTCCACGGTTCCTGTTGGCGTTTCTCAACAGTTTCACTTTCCCGAGGCATGGGCGATGGGGCAAACCTGCTTTCCCAGGTTCCCCAAGTGTTGTCAGATGCCTTTGACGCCGTCTCATCGAGGTCAATCAGAGGGGTATGTTTTCCCGTCGGGGATGTCGGTGGACCGCTGTTATTTGCGCGGAAACGGCTTCTAACCTCCCGATCATCACGGCCATATGCCGCGTCAGAATATGCCATGAAGACTTGCTCCTCTGAGCCTATCTCCACCTCTTTCTCTTCCCCGGGGGCTGGCCAGAGACTCATTCCGCGAAGCTGCATCGAGACAGAGGTGGCGTCATATCCACTGCTGCCTGTGGTCCCGGGTTTACTTCTCTCACCCGACGTGGGCACCGTTTCCCGCCCATCTAAGAGAGGAAGGCCAATGCCACCATCCAAGCTGGAAGTGATAGATGAATCAGTGAGCCCAAAACCCTTATTAGTGGGGCCCAAGGCTCGGGACATCACAGTTCGGAGCGCTTCCTTCTTGACGCGCTGTTCTCTATACCGTTCTGCGGAGAAGGACGGACATTGGTCGTTTTCTATATGACACATGTATGCATGGGCACGCCTGAACTTGGCATGGCAGAAGTGGCAGACCATTTCCTGGTTGGTTCTATGGAACTGTTTAACGTCAGAGACTGTGATAAATACCTGGAAGTGCAGAAGATAAATAACACGTAACAAGAGTGAAAATGCAAGAGAGCAACGCCGATGAAGCAAATTTGATGCATAACAGAAGCAGAAGACCTCATACCTGGGCGAAATGTGTGTTCTTGCCTCCCTCGCTTTTGAACTCCTCTCCGCAGCTGGGGCAGGCAATGTGTTTATTGCTTTCGAGTTTATGGGCGAACAGTTCTCTCTCATCTTCAAAATCTAGATTGCAACGGGCGCAGTATTCATGATCAGTGAATTCGATTTTATGCTTTCGAAGCTCCTTCTCTGTAGTGAAGGTACGGTTGCAATTTTCAAAAGTGCAGACGATTCTGGGAGTGATTTCTGTGGGGGCCATCTTGATAGTGGCTGTGAGAAGACGCCTGTAGGTGGATATAGTTATAACGACGCGGCAGAAGGGAGTGAGGAGAGAAGTTTTGCAGAAGCAGTATAGGATAAAAGAAGGGCCAGGAAGAAGCTTGTACGGTCCTTTGTATCTTATTCTCGTCAAAGTCAGTAAAGTGAAAAACGAAGAGAGAGTCAACAAAGGGTTCTCAGAAGGTCAGTGAATGTTCTGATGAGTAATGCGAGAGAGTCTTGTACATCTCAACCTCATTGCACCTGGATGTAGTTAAAATATATATATATACAACTAGTATTAAAAATTACTATTGAGCAAGACTTTGGTTCGAATGTATGTTTGCCCAGCCATTGTATTCTTGGTTTGATCAAGGATAATAACAAGGCATTGCTTTTTCATTCAGCGACTACGCCTTCGCATTGCTATCATGTAGGGCCAACTGTGCTATATGGCCATCGGCCAAAAGCCCAGGTTCAAGAAATGCCAATGAATAGAGCCTTGACATAGTAGATACATCAACATCAACATTTCTTTAATATTGCAGACATATGTTTACCCCTTTCCCTTTCCACACGCTCAGAATCGTGAATATGGAAGCCTGTTGGAATTAATCAGCCCAAAATGCTCAGTTCAATGTTTCCAATTGATTGAAAGGGCACCGATCCCAATGGATAAAATAGAAAAGAATAGAATAGAGAATAGCATAGAATCACACGTACCATTTCCCCCTCCACGTCACAACCGCCCAATTATTCCCATCCTTATCCGTCTCCTTCTCAACCGTAGTCGAGAAGGAAATCGCACTCATAATCCCGTCTCCAAATTTCTCATTCATCACTGCCTTATACGCGTAGCCATAGTTCTGCACAATCTCATACAGACGGTAAATCAGCGGGTCCTTCGGGGGGAAGGAGACGGACTTTCCCCGGTCTGGGAATCCGCTCAGAAGAGACTCCAGATGAGCATGGTCAATTTCAAGGACCTGAGCCAATTTGGCAATATCCTCCTCGGAAGCTTTTGCTTGTCCATAGAAGATGGCTGCGGTGGCTACCTCATTCCGGCCAATGGCTGCTGCTATGCTCTCGAAAGAGAGCTTCTTGTCGGCTTTGGCCTTGAAGAGAACCTCGGATGAGGTGGGGAGGTTAGCGTGTTCGGAGATCTGGGAGGCATAGGTTAATTATCTGTTCACTGGCGATCTACGAAGGATGGTGGAGTGGTTGTGAAGGTATCATACGTCAAGGGTCGCGAGGTTGAGGTTGGACATGGTGTATGCTACCCTGCTTGGAGTTACTGATTGTGCGGGGCCTGCTGTAGGAATGTTGTATTTTGTCAAATTGGCTCTCGGGATTATTACGTTCCTGGTCTCTCAACAATGCAAATCAAAGAAGAGGAGCGCTGGAATAAATAGAATCGAGATCAGATATATGCCTAAGAAGTTTGTAACAAATATGCGGCGAAAATGACGGGAAACCTGTTTTCCCCAACTTATTTGAAGGCGCGGAGGTTGCTTGGTGATGAGGGGTAGCGAGTGAGGGGTTGCAAGGACTGTGGAAGTAAAGGGTTCGGACGCAAAACCTGGGTTACATTTTTATATGCGTGTATATCGATGGCAGTTTAATATTGGTACTAAACTCTAATTTATAAAATCAAGGCCTTACGATAACAATTCCCATGCATCGAATTCAAGCCATTTGGAGCTCAGCCGGTGCCGGCGCCATGACGTCATCTGGCTTCGAACTGGCAACGCTATTTTTGGTCCTAAACTTGCAGATCACGGCTCGACATCTGCCTGTTTTCATCAATCAACAACTTCAACACACCGGAATGGCTAACTATGCCATACCATACTTATTTATTTGCCACAGATCTTGTCCAGAGATACTTTTCCCATCCTCACTTAACAGATGCGTCAGTGTTTAAGGCTTTCATCCGGACCGCCAGTGGGATCAATCTCAAAGATCCACTGAGCCCGCAAGAATTCCAGCTTGCAAAGGTTAATAAGACCTCGTATGTCCTGAAGAGATTCGAAAATCATGAATATTTCAAGCCTAGGAAACGCGCCTTGAGCACCGGCATCCTCTAATATAACTCTCAAAGAAGATAAAACATAAAAGAGTAAAAACACGCGCCAAATGCCAAATGCAGCCTAACGTGCGAGCTCTCTATAATCAACATCATATGTTTGGTCCCAGACCTCGCCCTGCTTTTCCTCATAACCTTTCAAGTAATCTGACTGTATTCTCCCTGCCATACCGCGGAGAGAGCCCTTCCGCGCGTCAATGACCGGGCTCATCCATTCTGTCTCTCCATTCCCTTGAGCCGTGCGGATCGGGAAAGACGCCGCGCTTAACCCCGTCGGCCAGCTATTTCCATAGATATTCTCCCATTGTCCCGGTGGTACGACATATGTCTCGTGATATATGGAGACATGGGGGCAGTCCTTCACAACGCTTGACCAATATTTCACTGCTTGAATGTGGAACGGCCCGTGAGCGTATTTGTGCAGGGACTCGAAATCCCCGAAATACATCACAGTCATAACCTCATTTGCCGCTGAGTCTTCGGCACTGGTCCAGGTCGCTGAACCCAGGTACCCCGAATGCTCAGCGGTCTCTTTGAGCTCCCTTACCATTCTAAAGAAGTATTTGGCTAATTTGAGATATACCGGATCGAAAACTCCAAAGGGGGTGACTGGATTTCGTTCCTAACATAAATACAACGAGCGGCCGTTCGGCAAAAGTCGATCCAAAGGATCCGTCTGGACGAGGCATTTAGGCAGTGAATTTGGTGAGGAGTACATCTGAGAGGTAGCGGTTCTTCGTCCAGCCGAAGGCCATGAGAAGGTTGTCACCGATCCGATAAGCAATGACCACTGTGGCTGGCAGGAGGTTAAGATAGCCTAGCAGGGCGACGGCCACGCCCTGCAACAAC